AAGTAGAGAGTCAGATAGGAGTTGCATAATTCTGTAGGTTCCTTCTGTTTACAGGCACTGTTCTAGGTTCCAGGAGAAAATCAAAGACAAGTAAGACATAGTCTCTGTCTTTAAAGAGGTCACAGTCTAGCAATAGCTGTACATTCAGTCCTAATATGAGCTTGTCCGTGCCTGATGGTTTCTTCCCTGGCAGCAGAGGTCAGGGTAGTGAAAGCCACAGAGCATGGGGATGGGAAAGGTGAAGGGTTAGGTGCTGGGAAAGAAAACAAAAGGAGGAAGTTAGTGTACAGCTCTAAATACTACAAGGCAATTTGGAAAAACATCATTATAGACAGAAGGACACACATGTTTTTCATAACCCCAGAGAACAACTTCCGTGGTGGAGATGGCTTTCATCTGAGCCTTCAAGTGAAAGCAGTAAGACGAAACTGGGACATTCCAACCCGGAGGGAAGAGCGTGAAGGCAGGCAAAGGGGGAAAACATGCCCAGTGTGGTAGGTGGAGAAAGGAGCTCCTTTTTTGAGGATGTCCTTGAGAGTGTGTGGATAAAGCAGGATGCTTGGTGGTTATAAAGAGAAATAAAAAGGGTTGGTTGGGGCTCTTGCTTCGAATGTCGGGCTGGAGAGGCTGCACGTTATCCTGGAAGCCACAAGCAGGTCATCACCATTTTGAACACAGCGGATTGAAGAGAGAATGGGAGGCAGTGGGAGGTGCGACCACAAGAGAGCTGAGGTGCCAAGCCTCCCATGCAGGCTCTGTCATCGTATCAGATTTTACCTACACAGCACACATTTGAAGATGACCACTGCAGAGCATTAAACCCCGAGTAGAGGCCCTCCTGAGCGTGGGGCCTTGGGCGACTACACTACATACGTGTCTGTGAAGCAGGCTGTGGAGTGAAGAATACTGTTTCAGTGGAATGGGGGTGGGAATAGTTGAAGTTACAGTGTGGTGGGTTGAGGCTAGGATGGGAGATGATGCAGACGATCATTTTAATGGTAGAGGGAGGGATACTGGTGAGCACTGGTCCGAGAAGGTGGGAGAAAGCTTTCTGAGAGTTTTGGGGAAAGGATGGGTAACTTAAACATGTTTGTGGACAAATGGGGTAAGAGCATACCTCTTACAGACGATGTGAAGGATGGGACTAATCACTACAGGAAAAACCTCACAAAGTGCGTAGAGATTGGATCAACAGTATAGATGGAGGGGGTGGGTTGTTGGATCAACAGTATAGATAGAGGGGGTGGGAAAAGAGAGGGCAAGTTCTGAGCCAGGAAGGCAGAAGAAGGCAGGGTGAATTCAGACGAGTGATGGCGGTGGCATAAATATTGGGTAGCCCAGTCTTAGTGAAGATGAGGATGTCATCCACAGAGGGTGCAGATGCCTCAGTGGGGCTGAAGAGTCAAGAGAAGCTCAGGAAATTCTGGAGAAACTGATGGATGGAAAGAAGTCAGGTGTCTTAGAGCCATGGAGTTTCAACTAGACTGCGCATCAGTGGCATGGCTTTAGGCGAATCATTTCATCTCTATGAAACTGTTTACTCCTTGATAAAATTAGGTACAAAAGTAACACATACAGTGTTACAGAATAGCATATAATATTAATATTATATTAATAATTCTGTATAAAATATAGAATAGCATTCATATATAATACTTATATTAATAATGATATGCAGTGTTCAGTATTCTAAGTACTTTACTCTGTTAATTCTCATAACAACCACATGATGAGAAAGAGAGGAATGGAGCGGCTAAGTGACTTGAACCGCTGAAGGGGTGGAGGAGGAGAGGCTGGGACTTGAACCCATGCATCTGGCTCTAGGGACTGGCCTTGTCACCTCTGGGCTATGGTGTCTTAGCACCTAGGAATCTCTTAAGTCTTAAAAGGCGCTGGCATCCGATGTGTCCATGAAATTAACTTTTTTATTATTTTTTTAAATTATTATTATTTTTTAGACCGGCTAGTGGCTTCTCGATTCTTCTCGTAAGTCCATTTTTCCTCTATGACCTACCGGTCAGTGTGCCGAGGAAGACAAGTTCTTACGCTCCCAGCCAGCACCACGGGGAACGGCTCATCACAGGAAAGGCTGGAGATGACCGCGAGGTGGCAGCATTCACTCAGTGATACCTGGCTTTGCACTAACCCAAAAGTCAGAACTGGACCCTTTCTTACCCTTCATTTTCCCAAAACCTCAAGGTACGTATACCTACCAGAAAATGAAGCCACGACTTGATCTTGTGAGGAGCTCAACGATGAGAGAGCCACAGAAGTCCAAGTAGAGGTATCCCCATAGGAGCTCAGAGCCTCTTTGGGGGGAGAAGAAAGAAGAGAAATCAGAACCACAAGGAACTGACCAGTGATTCAGTTCAGTAAGCCGCAAATTCTAGTTCTCTTACTCGCCAAAACTCAGGGCTATTCCATTTTACCATGTGAATATTCTTCATTTCAACCTGTTTGCTTGTTTGTTTAGAATCTTAAACACTGATAAAGGAGAGTACTAAATTACTTTATAGAGCCAGACGTTCTGGCTGAAATGTCTCCATTGTGAGGGTGCTGGACCCACGAGGTGAAGTTGTCTCCTTCCCTTCTCCCAGCTGCCCCTCCTTATTCTCTTCCCATCTCCTTCTTTTCCTTCTTGTTTTTCTTCCCGTTCCCTCTCCCCTTCCTTCCTCCTCTTCCTCCTTCTTCTTAGACTTCTCTCTTTTCTTTTTTTAATCTCTCCCCTTCTTCCTCTCCCTCATTCTCTCTCCATTTTCCCCTTGGTTGTTGTATTGATCAAATAAAATAACAATGAGGAAGGTCTAGTCTTCAGAGTTGGATGTGTGGGTCACAAGACTAGATCCTACAAAATTCCAAGAGTGATGCAAAAACATCTTTAGCCCGGTAGCACCCAGCTTGCCACCTACTTCTTACTCCTCATTTTATCAAAAAAATGAATTTATTCTAACAGAAAGTTTTATAAAAGAAAATAGTTTCACCAAAGGAAAAAAAAGGTAAATAAGCTTCACTTTTGTAGCTAGCTTTACTGGAGCATGCATTTGTGAGTCTCTGTGGGAAACAGGACCTTTTCTAGATTCTAAGAGCATTGATTCGCAAAAGGAGCGTCGAGCACAGTGTAAACGTATGTAGACTTTGAGTTAGAACGACTTGAGCATCTCCTTACTCCCTGGTGTGACAAGATGTTCCAGGTTTGCCATGTGTATTCCTTGCTGTAGTCCTGGAATCAATCGTTTCTCCAAGGAACCGTGTTCCTTTTATTAGAGATGATTATTAGAAACCAAGATCTGGGTGCTGCGTACACGGTGAGCTTTCACAATTGTAAAACTGGAGGGGTGATACATTTCTTGCAGAGTAGGATGAACATTAAGTGAAAAACACATAGTACTTAACAAGGACCTGAAACGTAGGGAGAACCCAATGTGTGATAATTCGATAGGGGCTGAAATAGATGTCTTTGCTTCCTGTAAACTCCATGCTAAAGCTCATTTCAAATCAAGCTGATTGGGAAAAAAATTTTCATGAAACTGTTTTGATACCTAAAAGTCCTTGTAGCTTGAGATTCTCTAGTCAGAGTTGAATTTAGGCAACATGGAAATTCTGATGAAGTTTATCATCTGTATTTGGCCCGATAAAATTTAAAGTTTTCCCCAGTTAGTCTTAGAGAAAGAGTCAAATCCCCATATTCACAAGAAGTCTTCCATGAGTTGTGGGGATGGTTGGACCCTGTAGCTTCTTCGAAGGCATTTTTTTTTATTAATGTTCATTTATTTTTTTGACAATACTTTAAAGCTAAAATAGCTTTTTTTAATTCTTATTTTTTATTGAAGTGTAGTCAATTTACAGTGTTAATTTCAGGTATACAGCAAAGCAATTCTGTTATATATATACATGTATATTTTTTCAGATTCTTTTTCATTACAGCTCATTACAAGAAATTGAATATAGTTCCCTGTGCTATACAGTATGTCCTTGTTGTGTATCTATTTTATATATAGTAATGTGTATCTGTTAATCCCAAACTTCTAATCTAACCCTCCCTTCCCTCTTTCCTCCCTGGTAACCACAGTTTGTTTTCTATGTTCATGAGTCTATTTCTGGTTTGTAAATAAAATTTGTATCTTTTTTTAGATTCCACATATAAGCAATAGCATATGATACTTGTCTTTCTCTAACTTACTTTTTACTTAATATGGTAATCTTTAGGTCCATCCATGTTGCTGCAAATGGCACTATTTCATTCTTTTTATGGCTGAGTAATATTCCATAATACATTTATGTATATGTGTGTATACACACACACATACACCCCCCAATACTTCTTTATCCAATCATCTGTTGATGGACATTTAGGTTGCTTCCATATCTTGGCTATTGTAAATAATGCCACTGTGAACATTGGGATGCATACGTCTTTTTGAATTACAGTTTTCTCTGGATATATGCCCAGAGTGGGATTATTGGATCAAATAGTAAGTCTATATTTAGCTTTTTAAGGAACTTCCATACTGTCCTCCACAGTGGTTGCACCAGTTCACATCCCCACCAGCCATGTAGGAGGAGGACTTTTTTGAAGGCATTTTTGATGGAACTGAATCACTGATCATTTTAGCCTTTGCATCAAGGACTGGGGCTCCCGCAGGGCCTTTAAGCCTCTTCTGCATCACAATAATGTTTCGTTCCCTCAGGAAAGTAGTGTTTTGATTGCTTGTTTTCATGTCACTTAGCCCTAAATTGTGATTGAGACCTTAGAGAACTTCCCTCCAGAGGACCCCAAGTCTATTTAAATGCCAGCTTCTGGCTGATCCCAGCCCTCTCCTATCAGTTGGGTACCACTCACTTAGGCTCTGAAACAAACTGCAACAGCAGCTGACCTGCCTTTAAACTTACATCATAGCCTCAGGAAATCTTTTTTACTCTTTGAAATATGAGGTCTTCAGAGACTGAACAACTTTTCCATCGATGCCCTTTTTAATCGCCAGGCCAACTTTAAGTTAGCGTCAATGGAGAATAGCACAGAAGTAACAGAGTTCATCCTCTTGGGATTAACAGATGACCCCACCCTTCAGGTCCCCATCCTCCTGGTATTTTTGTCCATCTACCTGATCACTCTGGTGGGGAATGGGGGGATGATAGCAATCACCCACTCAGACTCCCACCTCCACACTCCAATGTACTTCTTCCTCAGTAACCTCTCCCTTGTAGACCTGGGTTACTCATCAGCCGTTGCTCCCAAGATGTTGGCTGCGCTGCAGTCAGGGGACAGAATCATCTCCTATAATGGATGTGCTGCTCAGTTCTTCTTCTTTGTGGGTTTTGCCACTGTCGAGTGCTACCTCCTGGCCTCCATGGCCTATGACCGCCACACAGCGGTGTGTAGGCCCCTTCATTACACCAGCACCATGACAGCAGGTGTGTGTGCCCTCCTGACTGCCGGCTCCTACGTCTGTGGCTTCCTCAATGCTTCCATCCACACAGCACAAACCTTCAGCCTCTCCTTCTGTGGTTCGAATGAGATTAATGACTTTTTCTGCGACTTACCACCACTTCTGGCTCTCTCGTGCTCCAACACAAGCACCAACGAGCTGGTGGTCTTCTACGTCGTGGGATTCAACGTCTTTTTCACCTTCCTGGTCATCCTCGTCTCTTACCTCTTCTTATTTGTTGCCATTCAACAGATGCGCTCTGCAGAAGGAAGGAAGAAAGCCTTCTCCATCTGTGGGTCCCACCTCACCGCCGTCTCCACCTTCTATGGGACAATCATCTTCATGTACTTAAAGCCCAGCTCCCCCCAGTCCATAGACACAGACAAAATCACTTCTGTGTTTTACTCGGTGGTTATTCCCATGCTGAACCCCTTGATCTACAGTCTTAGGAACAAAGAAGTGAAAAATGCTCTCTGGAAAATACTCAGCAAACTTTATTCCCGGACTCTAAGTGTGAGTAGGAAGTAGGCAGGTAACTGAGGGGTAAATCGTCCCTCAGACCTAGATGTCATCGTGACTTCAGAGGTTTGGCAGGTTTCAGTTCTTTCTTCTCCAAGCACAGTGGTTACTTCTGCTATTAGGAGAAGCCATAAAAAGCAGCACTTTGAAATGTCTCACTTAGGAAAATAATCTTCTACTTAGCGAACAGTACCCTGGGATGTTTAAACCTCTTTTTTTTTGCATTAGTTTCTTGACACTATTCAAAGCAGAAGAGCAAAGCATAAACGGAATGCACTGACTTTCCCCCTCCTTATCTTGATGGGAAGAAATTTCCATTTGTTATTACAATGTGATGTAAGGAGGACCAAAAGTCAGGTGACAGTATTCAATCCTTCCAACTACCAGCCTTCCATGTCCCCCCACTTATTCCCATCCTCACTCATAAGCTCAGCATCTGCATTCTCCACCTCCTTCTGTTGAAGTGTTAGGACAGCTTTAGTAGAAAACAATAAACTATCTTGTGTATATATGTTTCAGTAGATAAATTGTTTACACTTTAACCTGAATAAGCACATCTCTTTTTAGAATATCTGCCCTCTGTTCTATGCTTTTGGCCTTTGTCTAAAGTAATTACTAAAACTTGCAGAAGGTTTAAAGAAAAACAAAATCATTTTTCCCAAGGGCTATGGAGAGGATATTTGTCTTCTGAATTAAGTGCTTGCATTTCTCAGTATCTGTAAGTTTGATGAATCACACAATAGCTTTTTGTGCCCTCTTTGTTTCTGTCTTTTCAATAATTTGGTTCACCTCTGAATCCCTGTTGCCTTCTGATGTTCTGTAATTAGATGTTGCAAAAATTCAAAAGCCTGTAGAAATGTACTTCTTCAGCTAGGAATTGTGTGATGACCCACAGCACAAATCCACCTTCAAGTCTCGTTTTGTGAGCTCGATGGTGTGAGCGAGTGTGTGTGTAGGTGGGGAGTGCTGATTAGTTTTTCTTCTCACATATCAACTGCTTGACCGTGTTTATAGCTACAATTAGTCTAAGTCATCACATATTTCATGATTTCAAGATCTCAAAATACATTTTTTTATCTTAAAAATGAAAACCAGAAATCTTGATGGGCTCACCAGGAAGCTCAGAAGGTCAAATCAATTCTGAGATGATCAGACTCTATCATGCCCAGGGCAGCCTCAGTCTGAGGAAGGGTGATGGTGGGTCTTGTGGAGAGAGGAGTGAAGAGGGAGTTGTGGAACACCCCTAGGTGTCGATCGCCATCACCTACAGGGACCAGAAGCTCCTTCTAGATCCAAGATCTTGACCATCTAGACCTGCCTCATTCATCCTCCTGCCTCCCTGCTTCAGCAGTGAGGGATATCCAGTAATAAACACAGAAGAACAGCCTTTGATGGTCAGGATCTACTTCACAGAGGAGTCTTCCTCACTGATGTGTAGATGTTACAGAGCTCAGAGTGCCCAGATTTGAGGAAGAGTCTAGAAGTTGCTCCCCCAGCACTGGGGGGTTCTTGTCATAGCTCTCCTCTTCCTACTTGATAGTTATCGTTAACTTCTTTTCCTCTTCTTTTTGCTGCTTTTTTCTACTTCCTCTTTTCCCTTCTCTTCCTCTTTGTCTTCCTTTTTTTTCCCTCAACCTCTTTCTCTCCTCAGCTCAAGGAAGAACTGCCCTTACCATGAAGCAGTTTAGGTTTCTATGAAAAATTAGTCTATCCTTTTTTATATTAAAATTGTTATGGCACATAGTAAGGTATGTTTCTGGGCATGTTTCCTTCTGTCCCTGTATCTCGGTTTAAGCAGAAAAGTATGTGGATCTTCTGAGAGTTAAAGACCTAAAGCCTACATTTTCTATTGAAGTCATTTAAACTAGCACTACTGTCGACCACAAACAGGTATAATCATTTTAGTATTAAGAGCTGTGCGAAAATTGTTACTCTTCTGATCAGTTGTGTGACCTCCAGAAAGTCGTTTGATCTCTTGGAACCCAACATACAGGACAAACTCTGAAGATGCCGTGAAATAAAGTATGTGAACTTGCCTGTCATAACGAATACATGTTGGATGCATCTGAGATTCCTGCGATGGCTCTCACTTATCTGTTCTTGAACTTCCCACTTTTGGCTTCCCGAGCTCTCTCACTTTGTCCGCCACTGCATCCAGGTCCAAACCTTTATTTCCATCCATTGTTTAAGTTCCTGCCCTCCCGGCTCCCCATTCTCAGCAGACACATTTCCAGCTGACATTACACGCTATTCATTTATAGAAGCTAATCAGAAGGAGACACCTTGTCACCAGCAAGACATCCATTTACAGAATACGGGTTACTGTCGGGAGCTTTTCACTTCCCTGTGGGAAATCTGTCAGATGGAGACTAAATGCTCATTTGGTTATTAGCAACGCTCACCCTCTCCCGGCAGGAATGGTTTGATGAATGAGAGACGCTGTGAGTGAGGCCTGTAGACCAAGACAGCACAATCAAGGCACAGGAAGACATCCTTCTTGGATTGTCCCAAAACAGAATATGAAAACACAAAAGTCAGGAGGACAGTTATTTACATTAGGATCGATTAGCCTTCTGAAAATTATTTTAAATCAAGAGGCTCCCTTTGTGCATAAGATAATTAGTTCAGCTTTCGAGTGTATGGAAAGAAAAATTAAAATGTTAGGGGTTCTTGAATTGAATCTAATTCAACAATTGAATCTAACACGACAAAGTCATAGACTCTTTAGCCTTGACAGAGCCTTCAGCAATAATCTACCACGGTTCTCTCATTTTACAGTTGCGAACCCTCATTCCTACAGTTTAGCTTGTTGAAACTCACAGGAACCAAATCTTACTTGACTCTTATTCATCCTTTGCATTCTATGAAGTTCTTGATGTTTCAAAAGATATTTTTACTTCCATTTGTTCACTAGGAGACAGATTTTTGTGCTCCAGTTTTGCAGTGGAGGAAATCAATTCTTTAGGAAATAACTTATTTGTCTAATGTTAACGACAGAAGCCCAGATTTGAACGTAAGTCTTGCTTTCCCTGCCCAGTCCTCTGAGAAAAGGAGAGTAGCCTTGTATTTCAGTGAATTTCAATAGATGAGTTATTTGATGTATAAATCGTTTAAAGACAGTCTTTCATGATAAGCCCCTGCTTTGTGGAAAGGCACTCTGAAGAATGCAAGCAAATTTAAGACTGTAGCATATAATTCTTACTTCAGCCGTGTCAATTCTCCTGCATATGTGGTGACTCATGTAAAGCACTTATGACGCAGATTTCAATAACTTTGTCAGCAGGAATTTCTTCCTATATTCTGTGGAACATGCGTGGATCAGTGCATATCAGTCTTTAATTGAAGTATAGTCTGTTTGCAATGCTGTGTTAGTTTCTGGTGTACAGCATAGTGATTCAGTTATACATATGTACATATACATATATTTCTTTTCATATTCTTTTTCATTATGGGCTAGTATAAGATATTGAATATAGTTCCCTGTGCTATACAGTAGCACCTTGCTGTTAACCTTTTTTAATATATAGTAGTTAGTATCTGCAAATCCTGAACTCGCAATTTATCCCTCCACCCTTCCACTCTATAACCATAAGTTTGTTTTCTATGTCTGAGAGTCTGTTTCTGTTTTGTAAATAAGTTCATTTGTGTCATTTTAAAGATTCCACATATAAGTGATATCATACGGTATTTTTCTTTCTCTTTCTGGCTTACTTCGCTTAGTATGATGATCCCTATGTCCATCCATGTTGCTGTAAATGGCATTATTTACTCTTGTTTATAGTTGAGTAATATTCCGTTGTGTATATATACCACAACTTCTTTATCCAGTCACCTGTTGATGGTCATTTAGGTTGCTTCCATATCTTGACTATTGTAAATGGTGCTGTTATTAACATTGGGGTCCAGGTATCTTTTCAAATGAGATTTTCCTCCAGATATAGGGCATATCAGTCTTTGTAGTTGAAGTTGGCTCTTTGAACGCTGTACCCCACAGGGACAGCCAAACTCCAGCCAATATTTACTGGGCATGAGCTGCAGAAAAGGCATAGGGTGAGGTCTGTGAAGGAACCAGTAATACACAGCATTGTTCCTGCTTCAGGAGAGTCTTGCAAACAGTGCAGTGGAGAAAAGCATGTATTTCCAGATAGATGACAATTCAAGGCATTTATGATGATTGTCAAGTGAGTAGCACAGAAAATACTATTTAGGACTCTTCAGAGATGAGAAAGAAACCTGTTCTTTCCTCCAGGGGAAGCTCCCTGGGGGAAGTGGAACTTAAGCGAGGCTCTGAAGGAATGATGTAGAGAGTCCAGAATTCCAAGAGAGGAGAGTCCGCTTCTAGTCAAAACTCTACCCTTGCCAGTTCTGAGACCAGCATAAGTCACTTATCTTTGAGCTAATCTCCTCCTCCTCAAAGTGTAGATAAAAACACAGTCACACCTTCCTCAAGGGTGTTGTGAGGGTCAAGGGAGATAATGGGCAGAAAACCATTTTTATTTTTTAATTTTTTCCTTTTTCTGTTTTATTAGTTAAAATTATTACAGTTCGACTGCACATACATATTATATTGCATGTAAACACATATATACAGTATATTGCACTTTTTTAGTTTACTATA